CCTTTTCTAGTCCAGGGGGGAAGCAGGAGTTAAATAAGGGGTGCTACTTAGGAGCACAGGGAAGTACAGGACTCTTCTACTTCCTGTTCCCCAAATAGTCCGGCACCAGGAGGCTTAGAAAGCAGACCTTGCTGATGGACTCATTAAAAGAGCCACTTCCATCCAAAGCACAAGAACCCCCCTGGCCTGCCTTGCTGGCTGGAGAGCCAGAGCTGGATTTCTTCCTCTCCCCAAGACAGGCTGGGTTTCAGTCTCAACAATCTGACCTCCACCCTTGTCCACAACTTTGTCTTCCCAACTAGGAACCTCAGGAGGCCAGAAAAGACCTCTGAAAGTATCTTGTGCAGCTCCCTGATTTTATATTAAGGAAACATATTTTTATATTAAGAGCCCAGAGACAGGAAGGCCTTGCCCAGAGTTATCCAACCCACCATGGGGGCAAGGACCAGGGCATGATAAAGCTCGATGGTGCCCTGTGGACACCTAGTTCCTAAGTCCCTGTGACCTATCAAGTCCAGTTCTATGCTCCATATACCACTCTTGAAACTTTCCCAAGGCATAACAGCACATTAAAGGCTCTTAGAAGTCCTGCAGCAAAAAAGTCTGCTTAGCTTTGTTGAGCCTACATTTGCCAAGCTTACGTGACCAAGGCTTCTTTCCCAGTAATAATCATACTATAAAACCAGCTGAAGTAATAAATGTTTACTGTATGTTCCCTCTTTACAGCCTTGTTGCAATTCTCATAACTTGCCTGTGAGATAGGTATTATTATGTCCATTTTGTTGTTGCAGATAGTGAATTTCAGAGAGGTTAACAGCCCCTTACCCAAGGTCACAGGAAAAGAGAGAGTGCCATGATGAAGCCAGGTGGTGGAGCCAGGATTTGGACTCAGCTCTCTGAGTGCAGAGCACAGACCCTCTTAGCCACTCTGCAGCTGCCCTGCCTCCTGTCACACCTGTCTGCATCCCACACAATGACTTTGGAAAAGACTGCTCTAAAGCAGGCAGCCAGCTCCTTTCCCATCAATTATTTGCTTAGGCTTCTAGCAACTCATCCTCAGTTGCCAGTTACCCACCTGCTCTGCACCTGTGAAGCCCTGACTCACAGCTACCTCCTCCAGTGGGTGACAGTGCTCACAACCCCTCCTCCCCCAGACACAGTGAGCCCTAAAGACAGAACCCCAAGGGCCGGCCCGGTGGCGCACTGGATAGTGCGCCGCTTGGAAAGCGCAGCGGCGCTCCCACCCGAGGGTTCGGATCCCGCATACAGACCGGTTCCCGCTCACTGGCTGA